CACACACACACACACACACACACACACACACACACACACACACACACGACGTGTTTGCACCAAGAGAAGCCTGGAAGGGTATACAATAAAATATTGAGAGTGAGGTTGGGATTAACTGTTAACTCATTTTCTTCTTTGTTCTTTTCTGGACTTTCCAAATTTCCTATAATGAACAGTTATTACTTATGTAATCAGAAAAAATATGTAAATTACAAGATTAGAAAAGTACTAGGAAAAATATACTTAAAGGAGAGTGAAACATTGCTTACGTGGAATAGGGTACGCAAACCGGTCTGGGTGCTTTGTGATGAGGGTGTTTTTTATGTGTCTTCTCCCAACACCATGCGCACCTATGTCATTTTTTAAAAAGGAAGTTAAAAATTGATAATTGTTAATAATATTCATAAACTGTTTTGAAGATGAAAATAAGAAAGCCACTTATGCAGTTAAACTTACCTAACAAGACTAGTGTTTTCCTTTTGAATGCTGTCAGTTTTACTACTTCTTCATATGTAACAAGATCTAATTGATCAAACACTAAAATGCAAAGATTTAGAAAGAATATAAATTTACAGAAGGAATATTTCATGTATGTAAATTATAATTTTACTGGCAAAACCAAAATTATAGTAAAGCCATGTCTTAAAAAATATGGATCCAACTTACAATATATAGCTTACATGTAATTTAAGTCATATAACCTTTTGGGAGAAAATTTCATTTTTAAGCCCATGAAAATGCACTTTAGAACCAGGGTCATCCAAAGATATGTTGAGCACATGCATAAAAGTCCAGTTGTAAAAGATACTGCATATCTTTTCATGCAGTATCCAACAAATCATATGAATTCATTCAAAACAACATGCTGTTCATATTTTTGCAATTCTAAGAAATCAGCAATACTAAAAAGAAAAAGTCTGCAGACAGTGACCAACATGAATGCAACTAAAGTTAACCAAGAAAGAGGCCAGCTAGATTATTTCTAGGGATGGATGAGAGATGCATGGACAGCTGGTCTTTAACTTGATGGTTCTTTCTTTCAACAGAGTTGCTGAAGGTAGCATGCTAGATTTCCTTCAAAGTCAAGTTTTGCAACTATGATTCCACACGCTTTGGAAATGAGCATCTCACAAGTTTTATTGCAACCCAGCTATCCATTCAATGGAAAGTCTTGGGTATGTAAGTAGGGGAACATGCTTCCCTGGGCCCCAAACTTTGTCAGCTTGTGTGTGGTAATAAGTAAGTTAGGATGGACAGAATGGGAAGAAGCATGAAGCAGAGTCTGAGCTTGGAAACTTTTGCAAAAGGGGAGTTCTCTAATCATTACAGACTGAGAAGAAACGCTTTAAAAAATGTTTTTTGGAAACCTGCCTCTTCACAAAACTATTACAAAAACTTTCCCAAGAGGATGACCGTTCCTGTTGAAGTTTAAGGTAGTCCAATTCTCACAACACACTTGAAAATTCTCACAAGAAGGCTAAAATCACGTGTCTATGTTTCCCAGAATATTTTTCTGTGTGGTACTACCCATATGTTGTCAGGCACACACTGAAATTTCTTTTTTAAAAGAATATTGAATAAGCTCTGGATTTTAGAGGGGTTGAAATAAATTCCATGAAATTGATTCCATGGTGTAATAGAGGAATCTGAGATGCTTCAGTCAATCATTAAGAGAAGCTTCTACTCCCTGAAACAATATGGCCAAATGCTTTGAATATCAGCTCAGTCCTTAACATTTGTGTTCTTCCCAGTAGCAAAGAACCTTAAAATGCAAAATAGGATACTCTGGAATGCAACAGATCAGAAACAAACGAACAAAAGTATCATTCCCAAAATACTAAAAAAAAAAGAAATACAATATGTTAAAATAAGGGTTAGTGCATGTTAATGGGTATTTGTGCATTTTTTTTGATAACTTGATTGCATAAACGTTGACTAAAAGACTTAAAAGCATATTCTCTAGCAACAGCTAAAAACCACAAAATGCTTTAATGGCAGATTCAGAAAATCAAAATGAACATGAGGCTGTCTGCGTGGCGGAGCTAGCTAGTCATGCTGCAGTGGTAATGGAGCGACGAAGAGTTGCAAAAATAAAAGCAGGAGAGCTTACGGCATTGCTTTTTATACCTATTGCCCTCTGAGTGATATTTTCGTCAAGAAAAGTATGCTTATGAAAGAGGTCCATCAACAAGCTGATATATTTTATTACATAGAAATAATCAAGCATCTCACAAAAGAGCAAGATGATGACACAAGTTTTCTGAATGGTATACACATCTCTTTCCCTCTACAGAGCCCTGACTCCAATCCTACTGAATTAAGTCATTTTTTTCAAACACATAAGAATGAGTTAGATATCAACAATCAACATGACAAATGAACAGATATGTTACACATCAGTATCTTAACCATATATGAGTAGCATGAAGAGGGTACTCCGGTCTAAATGAAATCATCACGTAGTCATAGGGTGGAGAAACAATAAAAAAGGATATTTTAAAATATGACATACAAAGAATATAAGGAGAACACTTAGAGACTGAACTTTTAAAGGTTTTAAGTTGTTTGCTGATTTAAAAAAAGGGACTTAATGAAAGGAAACCGTCAAAAACAAAGAGGCACAGTCACTCAACAGGTTACTTACATGCACAGAGGCCATTGGGAGTAAGACAGCATGAAAAATGTACAGGGGTCATTGAAATATGGCTTTTAATATATTAGTAAAATAAAAGTATAATATGCACAAAAGAAACTTTACCATGCAATATTCTAAACATGAGGCAAATAAATCACATTAAGAAACAAACTCATTTTAATAAAAATTCAACAATATCCTTATATAAAAGCCAGTGGGTTTTATATACTAGCATATGCATACAAATTTTGTCTGGGAATAGTTACAAGAAACCTTCTTCAGGGAGTGTAGGTGTGGAAGCCTTTTGCTTTTCATTCTGTATCTTTTCTAATCACATGTGCCTATTACTTTTACTATTAAAAAAATGTCAACAGGGCAGTGAGATTATGGGCCACTTTTTGTCGTCTTTAGAGTTCTCTGTATTAAAGAAAACAAAAATAATAGCTTTTTAAAGTCAACAGTACTAATTTGTGGTATTAAACATAATTTAAACACACCTATGAATGGTATTGTAGAAATCCTCTATGTTTGTATGTAAATGGAGTTTCTCAGGATATTTAAATACCACTGCTCAGGGCTCTAACATTAAAAGAAAATGAATCAATGAAGAGTTTTAAAAAAGGTTTACATTAATAACTTGATCTTAAATTGATTTTGGAAGTCCTAGGGCTGAGGAATCTTAGTGCCTCAAAGAGTATAGTTCTTCTAGAAGCATGACAATACTTTTTGCATCAAATTTATGTGGCTAAAAGTCTTTCATGCGTTGCAGAAAATGCATTTGCTGTAAACACTACACACACCATAATCAAATCTATTCCCAAGGCTTCAGAAATACTGTCTGGCATATTGTCCTGACTTCCTGGTAAGCTACTCAATGTTCATGACACTTTTGAGTATTTAGATACCTGTTCTCCAGTAGAATCTTTTCCATAAACAAGCCTTTAACATTGATTCCATATCTCAGTTGGAAAAGCTATCTTCAAAGTAGCTTTGAAGTATACTAGTATCTTCAAATACTGTACAAACCTCCACTTAGATAAGCCATTGTACACGGTAACACTGGGCCGAGTAAAGTGGGCCTAATGTTACCACATCCTCTGTTCTTTCAAGGAAAGGCAGAAACCCAGATTTTATGTTAAATATTTGATTTTCAAATGTGATAACTAATTAAGATTATTTTAAACACCGTGTGTATATGGGAAAAATAAAATTTATTTATGGGTCACATTCAGCTAATAGACTGCCACTATATAATGTGAGAGGTAGGCAACAATTTGAACAGAATTCTGCTTTAACTAGACATGTAGAATTTCCTGGTGACATAAATGGAAATAATTAATTCTAGTATTTTATCATTTCCATCAGTTCTAGATATTGATAAAGTTCTCATCCTTTATTTTTACTACAAATGTAAACAACTTCAGAATTTAATGATAAGGTTTGGATCTTGTCAACAATAGCTGCTGAATTCTCAAAGATTTGAAGCAGGAAACAAAACATATGCCCTTATTTTATTTTTTAAAAATTACTTATTTTTCAATGTATAAAAATCAGTTGCATTTTTAAAAAACTGAAGTACAGTTGATTTACAATGTTGTGTTAGTTTCAGGTAGGTGTACAGCAAAGTTATTCAGATTCTTTTTCAGATTCTTTTCCCTTATAGGTTATTACAAAATATTGAGTGTAGTTCCCTGTGCTCCACAGTAGGTCCTTGTTGGTTATCTATTTTATATATAGTAGTGTGTATATGTTAATCCCAATGGCCCTTATTTTAATTTACTGAGGACTACAGGATGATTCCCCCACTGTATTTTACAATCGACTTTTGAATAAGTCAGAAGACACCTTTCAGAAACATAGTTGGATTTGTGGCCTATGAACCCATTTGGCTAGTTCTTGGTATTAAAGAATATGGTATTTCAAAGTTCTCAAAGCATTTGCCTTCCCAATGGAGGTCAACAGTATGTGTTTCTCTCTTTTAGAGCAATTCTTTATGTAGGCAATGCCACATATTAGGATAAACTTTCATCATAGCTAAAAGCAGAACAGCTGATAAAATACTTGACTTTCCTTCCTGACAATTTCATCTCTTGTAAAGGCAAGGTAATCAGTAAGTAAATGGTTCTTCTGGTCTTTATAATTAACAAAATGTAAGAGTTGGCTGGTGATGGGGAAGAATGCTGAAGAGATGGTGGCAGAAAGGACATGCCAGGCAGCATATTCTAGAAAGTCCAAGGAAAAAGCCAGCCATCTTCTCCAGACCAGAAAAACTAGTAGGAGAGCTCATGAGTGATGATTTTGTGCGGGTGGGAATCCTAACAATGACATTCTGACTAGACAGTCACAAATGAGCCTAAACACAAGTTCTGTACAGAAACTTGAGTGGCCCTGCAAGGACCTTATAAAAAGCTCAGATTTTCTATCAAAGGAGGCTCTCAGGCAGTGACAAATACTGACATGTAGAAGGAACTGTGAGCATGAGGAAGGCTCTGAGGCCCGGAAGACCACTGCTTAGGAAGATGTTGTGGATAACAAAGAAGTGGTGGGTCTCCTCTTAGTTTTAAGTTTACAAGAACTTAGATAGATCCATGGTTTTGGATAGGAGGTGTTGTGTTTAAAGACGACAGAGAAAAAGCAATTCTATTCCATTTCTATGAGGTTCCTGCCTTCTCTAGCAAGGGTGATATAGCCTTCAAACATAATGGGCAATGTTTACCAGAGCTAAAGCTTAAGATAAGGGACAGCAAATGAGTACTTGGCTTCATTAAATGATATCCATTTATCAGGCCCAGTGATGAAATAACCTGAGATCCACTGAACTTTAGAATTAGAAAAGATATCCTTTATTGACTAACCCAGTTCCCTCGTTTTGAGGCCCACAGGAGCCAAGTGATTTGCCAAAGGTGCATGGATACACAGGTGTGCTAGCTTCTGGTCCTAGCTTGGGCTGGCTGTTAAGCTTACAGGTGCGTTTGCAGGACTACCAAGCACCACTTGTGATGAATCAGAGAGAACAGGAACCATGGAAGATCAGTGGTGCTCCAGTGGTCAAAGAATGGAAAAAGTTAACTCTGGAAAACACTGGCCACCAGATAGGATGCTGATTCTCTGGCAAAATTCTCAAGTGAATGATTCAACAGACTCTTTGTCAGAATTTAGAGAGTCTAGTTTTTCAATTAACTGGCTTCTTATTTTTCCTCAGAGCTAAATTAAAGAGTGTTGGCAAATTGAATACTCATGTCTACATGCCTTCCATCAGTAGAATATAAAAAGCTAAGGATGAATCGACAGCCTTATCGGCCATTTCTTTGCTTTTCTACGTTTAAATTAATTTTAATGCCATCTATATATCATTTAAAATCACTGTAAAAATTACAAGGTTATACATATATATGTAATGTCAACAGACCTTCTGAGCCTGTTAGAAGCTGATGGAAATAAAGGTGATTATGGAGACCTGGCAATAACCACTGACATTTTATGTTAAACAACATTCTGCTGCTACTACAGTGAATTTCTTCAAATAGTACTACTGGAGCATTTACAATTAGTTTTAACTAATTATATTTAACTAATCTACTTTGAATATTTCTTCTCTTTATAAAACAAAAATAGCCATTATCAGACTAGTGCTCTATAGTGGTATATAACCAGAAATGATACCTTTTATTGGAAATAAAAATGTGGCACACTGTAGCTATCATGATGGGAAAGATTTCCGCATTTAACTGAACCATTTAAAATTAAGCCATGTGGTCACTCACATTCATTCCACATTATACAATACTTCAAAATGTTTACTTTTACTCTCTGATCAAGAAATGAATCATTCAGAGTTTCAAAATAATTTTTCCTAGTGAATACTAATAAAATATAACGTTCTACAGAGGGAAATGCATTTCATATCTGTCAGAAATATTATACTGTCAAACTGGGTGTGCATGATTGCATTCACTTGATTTTCTTTGCCATATGTTTGAAGTTTGGAGTTATTTCTGAAACCTTGGGAACTAATCTAATGCCAATGTTGGGGCTTGCACTTCCTCAGAAAAGTTCCTTATAAAAGGAGTCATATTAAGAAGTTATTGAAAATAAGTAAATCCCACCCTACATCATCATGCCTTTTCGTTAAGTTACATCCTGTGAGTCTTCTGGGAATTCTACTGCAATGACAGAGCATGCTTTTTTTGGTATTCATTTCAGTTCTTAGCAAATGAGTGAATATTTTGACTTAAGTTGAATGCAAGCTTCCATATAGACAAACATACCATGAAAGGTAGGCCAAGATAATGTTCTTGGTCTTTTAGGGGCTAAGAAATACCATGAAGGAAGAAGACTAGTGACAGGAACTGACCAAATTAAGTTAGTATCTATCTAATGTCATTTGCACTCTTTCAGATCAATCACTGAACCATTTGCAGCACAGCTCTCTGTTAAGAGCGCACCTTTGCCCTTAGAAATGTGGCACAGGGCCATGTCCAAGGGCCAGAGAGGAGCCAGGAGTGAGGGTATTTGCTCAAGGCCAATCTCAGCAAGGAGGCAAGAATCCTGGCAATTCAGCAAACTCTCAGTCTCTCATTTCTCAGGGGAGGACTTAATGTACTGGGTTCTTTGAGTTCCAGAGAGTACTGTTTCCAAATAGCATTTTCTTCCTATAAAGTATAGCTCTGTAAAATATTTGGCAAATAACCAACATAATAATTGAAGGCAAGGGATTCTTAAAGTTTTTGCAAGCTGATGATCTCATATGGTGAAATTTTTTTTGATAGAGAACTCTGAAGACGGAATTGAGATGTTACATCTACTTCAGTCTTTGAGATGTTTAACCGGTCTCAGTAAGTCGTACTTTTCCCTACCTGCATTGTGCTTTGCCAAATATTTATCTTTGTACTGCTTCTTTTTCTTGCCAAACCAAGTACAGCTGGCTTGCTGCTCCTGTTTGGTCTTCTCCATGGCAATGCAAGCGACTCGCCTAGCACACAAAGAAAAGAAAAAAACTAATGTATAGTTTTATGCTGATAAAAGAGGAAAACCAGTCATTTGAAGAGTTTACATGAACCTGCGTGAACAAACTCCTCACAAACTTTTCAAATCATTCAGATAAAGGCTGCTCCTTGACAATTTCCTAGAAAGGTTTTAAAAATGCAGGCTTATACGAAAATAACATTGTATCACTTGAATATATACTAACTGATAACACAGATGAAAAGTCTAAACATATAGTCATGAAATACAGTGGAATGAGTGTGGGATTTTGAGTTGAGACAGGTCTGATTTGAATCCTGGCTCTATCACTTACTAGCTTTTATCAATTTAGTGTTAGGTGCTTTTCTAGGAAGTTTACATATATTAACTCATTTAATCTTTCTAACAACACGTGAAATCATGTCACCGTTTTACAGATGAGGGGATCAAAGGACTGAGAGGTTAATTAATTTGTCCCAATCACACAGCTAATAAAGTGGGAGGGTGAGGACAGTCTGGCACCAGAGCCCATGCTCTTAGGCGGTGCATTCTATTGGCAAGTTCCTTAATCTCTTGGAGCCTCTTGGATGGCTGTTGTAAAGAATTATAACAAAAAATGTAAATAATATCCCTAGCACAGTGGCAGGCACAGTAGATGCCTAATAAATGGTACTACTACTACTTGAAGATTCTAGGTAGGAAAAAAAAAAGCTATGATTAAATCCAAAGTAAAAATTACATTCAGAAAAATCATAATTTTGTTCTACATAATTACAGTATTCAGCATTAGTAACATATACATAAATGTTGTTAAAAAGTTGCTCTCTTAGGACTTCCCTGGTGGCACAGTGGTTAAGAATCTGCCTGCCAATGCAGGGGACATGGGTTCGAGCCCTGGTCCAGTAAGATCCCACATGCTGCAGAGCAACTAAGCCCCTGTGCCACAACTACTGAGCCTGCATTCTAGAGCCCGTGAGCCACAACTACTGAGCCCATGTGCCACAACTACTGAAGCCCACACGCCTAGAACCCACTGCAATGAGAAGCCCGCGCACCACAACGAAGGGTAGCCCCCACTCGCCACAACTAGGGAAAGCCCGTGCGCAGCAACAAAGACCCAACGCAGCCAAAAATTTAAAATAATAATAATAAAAAAAGTTGCTCTCTTAGGTTTAGGCTAAGCAAGTACTTGCCTTTCAAGATATTACCACAGAAGGTTTTGCTTACTTAATGACTTTGCTTGTGGGCCAATGTGGGGTGCCCGAGTGAGCCACATATAAGGAGAATCCAAAATGACTATCAGAATGCCATACAATGCTATTGAAAATGACGAGTTGTTTTACAATGAGATTGTACTGATTTGCATTCCCACCAGCAGTATAGAGTTCTTGTTGTTCCACTTCCATGTGAACACTTGTTATTATCAGTCTATAATTTTAGCCATCATGGTGGACGAGTAATGAAATAACACTGTGTTTTGAGTTTGCATTTCACTGATTATTAATGAGACTGAGCACCTTTTATATGCTATTGGCTATTGGATTTCCTCTTTTGTAAAGTGCCTGTTCAAATCTTTTGACCACTTTCCTATCCAGTTGTCTTCTTCTCATTGATTTGTAGGAATTCTTTATATGGTGTGAATATTACACTTTTGTTAGTTATATGTGTTGGAGGTATCTTCTTCCACTCTGTGGCTTGCCTTTTTAATCTTTTCATGGTATTTGATGAATGTAACTTATTAGTTTTAATTTAGTCAAATCTAGCAATGTTTTCTTTTATGGGAAATATTTTTGATATCTTTTTTTAGGAAATCCTTCCTTGTCCCTAAAGATATTCTCCAATATTATCTTCTCAAGGGTTTATAGTTTTGTCTTTCATGTTTTGGTTTTTAATACACTGGAACTGATTTTTGTATGTGGTGTGAAGTCAGGGGTCCAATTTCTCTCATTTTTTCCCTAATAGATAACCAATTGCCCCAGCACAACTTATGGAAAAGTCTATTCATTCCTCACTAGTGACTATTTATGTATGAGAGTGTTCAGGGGTTCTCTTCAATTGGTCTATTTGAGCATCTCTAAGCCCATACCTTATTGTCTTAATTACTACAGCTTTATAATAAATCTTGGCATCAGTGGGGCAAGGCCTCCCTCCTTATGCTTCTAGAAGAGCATCTTGACTATTCCTGATTCTGTGCATTTCCTTGAAAACTTTAAAATTAGCTTGTCAATTTCAAAACGGTTGGGATTGAATTGAATCTATGAATCAATCTGGGAGGAATAGACATCTTTACAATATTTACAATATTGAGTCTTCTAGTCCCTGAATACAGTATGTCTTTCCATTTATTTAGGTCTTCTTTAATGTCTCAGTAAGTTTTATAATTTATCCTCTAAATGTCTTGAACAACTTTATTAGGTTTGTTCCTAGGTTGTTGATTAAAAAACTTATAAATGGTATTTAAAAAATTTGTAATACTGAAAAATTCAAACATATACAAGAGTAGAGAATAGTGTAATGAACCCCAAATATCTACAACCCAGCTTCAACATTTATTAACTCATGGCTTATTTTGTTTTATTTACAACCTACCCACCCTAAGATTACTTTGAAAAAAATCCAAGTTTGTATCATTTCTTCCTTAAATATTCTTAAATTCCCTTTAAACCTATAGGTTCCCCCTCCTTCCCTCTCTCCCTTTTCTTCTTGCAAATTATTTGTTGCAGAAACTGGTTGTTTGTCCTATAGTTTCTGATCTCACCCCTGTGGTGTCTTCAGTAAGTCTCTTTGTCTTTTGCATTTCCTGCAAATAGCTAATTAGATCTAGAGGCCTAATCAAACTTAAGTTCTATTTTTTTTGCAAGAGTACTTTATAGTATTATGGTGTTGCAGGTGGTGTTATGTAGGGTATTTAAAAATTATTTTCCATTTTTTACTGTAAATAGAAATATTGATTTTTGTACACTGATTTTACATCAGCCATCTTGCTAAACTCTCATTAATTCTAATTGTTTATCTATAGATTCCTTTGAATTTCTACACAGAATCATATCACCTGTTATATTTTTTTTCCCTTCCAATAATGTTTGCTGTAGGTTTATTGTAGATACTCTCAATCAGGTTTAAGGAAGTTCCCTTCAATTCACAGTTTGTGAGAGTTTTAATCATGAATGGATGTTGAATTTTAAAATCCGCACCTATGGCTATGACCATGTGGATTTCTCTTCTTTAGTCTGTTAATATGGTGAATCAGGTTGATTGGTTTTCCAATGTTGAACCAGCTGTTCATTCCCAGTACAAACTCTACTGGGTCAAGATGTATATCCTTTTTATATATTGTTAGATTCAATTTGCTAATATTTTGCTGAGGATTTTTACATCTGTGCTCATGAGGGATATGGGTCTGTAGTTTTCTTTTGCCTTTATGGACCTTTGGTATTAGGGTAATGCTGGCATCATGAAATGAGTTGGGACGTGTTCTCTTCTACTTTCTTAACGAGTCTTTCCTCCATGTCTCCTTCTCTCTCTTGATCTTTGAGGGCTTTATTTATATTTATTTCTTTATTTTTGGTTAGGAGAAAGACATTTATTGGGAAATACTGTGAACTCTCAGTAACAGCAACAAAGTCAATCTCCATATATTACCTAAGTGGCATAGAGAGGAGGCTGATGAAACCTTTGCTTTGGGAATTCTTCCAGTTCAAGCCAATATGTGCTGTCAGTCATAAATACAGCTTCTGTGAGGCACAGGATCTTTGGAAACATAAACAGAACTGAGGAATTTTTGACAGGTTAAAAGAGATGAAATCCTGACCTCATGAAGCTTACGTTATAGTGTACAGAGTATCTTATAATAAATGTTTTTCAGCTTAAAAACTTTAAGAAAAAGAAGTTCCCAGTAAAAATTTGTGGTGTGGCCACATGTGGTGTAATGACAGAGGAATGATACTGATTTTTACTAGGCACTCAGGAAATGAATGTTATTTCTTTTAGCTCAGTATGTGCAAGGAAACTGTGTTAGAATTTAGGTCAACCTGGAAGGAAATTTCAAACACATGTTTAACATTTTATTGCTGACTTGGATGAGGATCTAGTAGGCAAGGGAAGGGATGACAGATTCAGGGACTTAAATCGTATCAGAGGATTAGACTGATGGGCCTTGTCAAGCAAGATGAGATTTAGCAAGGATAAATAAGGTAAGGTATTTGGGTCCAAAAAAATTGATTTCTCATCTACAGGATGTGAAAAATACGACTTGGTAGCAACACATCTGAACAAAGCTTCTGGGTCTGGCTGATAGTATTGTTTCAAATCTTTCTCATTAGTATTACACGTCCATCGACATTCTAGAGACCAATTCACTTTTCCAACAAGGGACTCTGCTTTTCCCCCTCAGTTGGGAATGCCTTCCTGTACCTCCAGAGTCCTACTGTGGTCTCAAGGAACATACTGCCCAGTGGGCCTCTTCCTCTTCATCCTAGTTAGAATCCCTGTCTCCCTCTACAGTCACTGCAACTTTATTGAGTTCAGTTTTTCTGCAATAAACTGAACATGACATAAAGTGTAACATTTCATCAGTTTTGAAACATTAATACATCCCATGAAACCATCACTACAATCAAGATAACAAACATTTTCATCACCCCAGGAATTTTCTTATGCCCCTCTGTAATCCCCCCCTCCCTCCTCCAGATCCCCAGGAAACCACTGTCACTGTAGATTAGTTTTGCATTTTCTGGAATTTTATATAATGGAATTATACAGTATGTTCTCTTTTTTGCCTGGAAACCCAGCCTAATGATTTTGAGTTTCACCCATATTGTTGTGTGTTATCAATAGTTCATTTCTTTTTATTGCTTAAGAGCATCCTATTGTATGCATATGCCATCATTTGTTTATCCATTTACCTGATGAAAACTTTTAAAAATTTTAGCCATTCTAATAGGCATGTGGCCACTGAGTTTTTGTTAGTGCATTTTTTGTCCTTGGAAATTCATTTTGGTTCTTTTTCAAATCTGCTATGCCATTAAATTTTTTCCCCCTCTTCTCTGAAGATATTTTTTTAAGCTTTTACTGATTTTTAAAAGCTTGCTAATAAGCACAGTTGTTTAAAAACCTTTGTCTCCTAATTCCAATATATGAAGTAGGTTTGAGTTTGTTCCTGGCGTCTTTCATTTCTGTCAGGTCTCACTGGTTTCCACGTGCGCCTGCTTATTCTGACTTGCTGGTAACTGCCCTCAAGAAAGTTTACGTGGGGGGTCAGGAGGAGCTCTAGGATGAGGCCTAGGATAAAAGTGTTCTCCTTCAGAGAGAGACTTTCATTTGTTTATAACAGATATTTGGAACTGTTAGTAAAGGGGAAACCTCACATCAAGCACATAGCTGGAGTTTCCCTGGCTGTCCCGGGCTATGTGTACCTGGGTGCAAATCCATTCAAGGTGGACCAGTGGCCACAATTTTTTCAGGGGAACTTTGCTTTCCTTTTGCTCTGCTCACCGACAAGGCAGCCTTCTCTACAGTCCCCTGGTGTGGAAGGGCAGTGAGGGGATGCTTATCTGTTTGCTCTTAACCTGGGGGTATAGCCTTTTGCAGATCCTGACAATGCGGGATGAGTCTCCTAAAAGATTCTCCTACTTGTACAGGCCTTATTAGGTCTTAACCTTGGTCCTCTGGCAGAGAAGTTTTTAGTAATAGAAATGCCCTCCTGGCAAAATGGACCAATTTGGTACTCTAATTTTTACTGCTCTGATTAATGGCTTTCATATAAAAATTGGTCACTGAGTTCCCCAATACCTTTTCAGCTACTCAGTACTTTTAAGGTCATTTTCAAAAACATATTTTCTGTAGCACTTTTCATTTTTCTTTTCCAGTGGGAGGATTGATCCAAATAACCTAGTCTACCATTACAGGAAACAGGAAGCAAATCTGCTTTTCCCCCTGCCATTTCTCAGGCTTCCTCCAGAGGACTCAGAGTTCTAGGTACTGGTGAGACATGATTTATACAAATGAGCTGACTAGGGAGAAGAGGTCTGGATTCTACATAATTACTTTCAACAAATGCTCATTAATATATGGCAACATTCAAGAACACATTTTGTAAAACATAAATATCAGTGATAACATAGTAACATCACCATCAAAATGACTTAGAAATCACTTTCCTCTCACTAATGCTTAAACTGTTTTCTGAAGATGAGACTTGAAAGACAGCATCAGATGGAAGGCTGCTACTTCCTCTAACTAGGCCTATGTTTCCTTGTGTAAAATGATGGCATCTGAAGTTCTTACCAGCTCTGACATTCTAAATTTAAGAGTATAGCTGAAAGAACTGATCAAGCAAAAGAGATTAGCTGAGAAATCCCTTTAATTAGTGAAAAAAAAAGGATGAAAAGTTGTATGTGTCTATGAACTCTATGCCTTTGGTCTCTTTCAGCTAGGTTCTTTCAGCTAGGTTCAAGTATTTTGGAAGTATTTTGGACATGAAGTTATCTTTTTCGCACAAGGTTTCTGATATATATTGCCAAAGTACTGACAAAGGTAAAACTACTGACATTTTTCAAAAAACAGCAAATTGTAACATTAGTAACAGAAATAGATTTTACCAAAATACACAGTAATCCGTGACTCCTCTCAGTTAAAAACATGTCTAAAAACTGTTTGACTTTAACCTGCGTTCAAAGCCTAAACTGTCTAACAGACACACATTTTTAAAGACCTGGCAAGGGGGACTTCCCCGGTGGTGCAGTGGTTATGAATCCGCCTGCCAATGCAGGGGACATGGGTTCGAACCCTGGTCCGGGAAGATCCCACATGACTCGGAGCAACTGGGCCCGTGCGCCACAACTACTGAGCCTGTGCTCTAGAGCCCGCGAGCCACTACTACTGAGCCCATGTGCCACAACTACTGAAGCCCGCACACCTAGAGCCCGTGCTCTGCAACAAGAGAAGCCACAGCAATGAGAAGCCCGCGCACTGCAACGAAGAGCTGCCCCCGCTCGCTGCCAACTAGAGAAAGCCTGCACGCAGCAACGAAGACCTAACGCAGCCAAAAATAAATAAATGGATAAATTTATTTAAAAAAAAAAGACCTGGAAAGGTAAAGAATGAAGCTTCTGACTGTCTTACCCTTCTAATAGTGAAACATCTTCTTTAAATACCTGGAATGACCGTGAATCCTGGCATTTGAGTTTTTCGCTGGTGGTGGAGTGGAATGGGGGTGGTGAGAGCATGTGGAGGGGCAAGGAGTGGGTACATTTAAAAAAATGCAATTCTAAAAGGATGGAAACAGCATATAGGAATAGAGGGCTCTGCTAAGAGACCACGATGTGACCATGACCTGAGGCTAGTCGCTCAGCCTCTCTACAGACCTTCCTCTCCTCATGTGTGAAACAAAGACCTGACTCTCTAAGCAGGAGCTTACTTGGTGCTGACAATTTAGAATTCTTGGATGACTAATTTGAACTGTGTTTGGCTAATAGAGCAAGGAATATATTAAACAGGTTTTACCCTATAAAAGAATAAAATATAAAGTTGAAAAATGGATGGCCAGGCTTCATTTTTATTGGAAACTAAAAGAAAACAACAAAAACGTACCATTCCTGAAGTTCTGGAGAAGGAATGAGACCCGCAGTTCCATTTTTGGAGTTTTCCAGTTTACCCTGCCACCAGTTGTGATCATCCTTACTGATAATCTGGATAATGTCACCAACTCTGAATCGAATGCCAGCTTCTTTGCAGGGGATGAGGTCATCCTTGGCTGGATCATATTCAAATTGTGCTCTTACATAGATCTATAAAACAGGAGTTTGTAAGAAAAAATGCCATGGTGATGTGAAAGAAAACAGTCAGCTCTAACTTAATAACCACATACCAACACTTACTACAATACAAACAGGACATTAGATGGTGAAAGCAAATATGATGCATGGAAATACAACACAAAAAACAGCTACCACTAGAAACAATGTACTACTTTTGGTGTGTACAGGTTCAAGTCTTTGCTCTTTTTATTTGGAGGGAACACTTAAGATACTTCCTTAGTAAAAATAGACTTAATTTCTGCTTTTACTATAATAGGATAGGCTTAAAATTATAGAGAAGTATGCTTACCATTTTAAAATCTGAATATATTTAGTTGCTATTATGCATAAGTTGTCATGATCACATGGCAGCCTTTAAACCATGACCACAAGCATTCAGGACAGGTTTTAACCCTAAAGCAGTACATGATACAAAACTAGCAAGAACTCCGTGTTGGTATCTTGCTGTAAAATGCTTACATGACAACTGGCAGTGTGTCTACACACTGCTGATAAGCTTAAATGTAATTCAAACAATTTTTTTAAAGCATTTAAAAATAGTTTTATTTTTTAAACAGGATTTAGACTTTGTATTTTACTCTTTTTAGAGAAGAAAAATGAGTTTGAATCCTGGCTTTGCCAGTGTAACACTTGAAATCTGCACAGAGCTTCAAGATATGCATGGTTTAAGGCTCTGAGTTTTATGATATGTGAATATAACTGGTAAATATTATAAAAGGAAACAGATTAGCATACAAGGGGTTATATGGTACCATTTTATGAATCACTGGATTTCTAAATGATTTAAAATAAGGTGCTAGATATTGAATGTTGCATCACTTATGGGTGAGTTCTATTAGGTGCTAGTTTATGCAAACCTTAACTCACAATTTGATATTTTTTAATAGCACATTTCACAAAAAGTACCATAAAAATTCTATCTCTTGAAATTAAATTTGAATATTAATGTTTAAGTCACTGTAAAACCAACCTGAAGGCTTTGGAACTATTGTGTGATTATTCTGTTTAAGTTTCTTTTCAGAAATCCAGCCTATAAAATTAACAAGTCTCTGCATTTGCACCTAAAATTCATACTCAAAGTGCCAGCAAATTGAAAGTTACTTGCTTGTGTTAGGCAGCACTTAACTTTTCATGTTTGATTAGGCTGTAAAGCCAGGAATTTTCTGTTCTTTTTTTTTCCATTGTATATGGCTTTTAGAAATACACATGCAGATACAAATTATGAAAAAGCCTTCAAACTTCAGATAATTACTGCTTAAAAATGTTCACTGGCATGTACGTTGTAGTTATTCTTAGAATTCTAAGAATTTTGTAACCTTTAAAAATTTTTTTCCACCCCAGAGGCAGGCCCATAAGATCCCCAAAGGCTGAATTCTCAACCATCAACACAAAATGATCAGGTTGAAATTACAATAACCATCACAGCTACAAAGATGTTAGGAAAAAAATCTTTATAGAGAATTAGTCATGTGTAATGTGTTAAAATGAAATGGTACAAGCTCTCAATGCTCAAATGTTATGGTCCAAAATGCAGACATTATGGGATGAAAAGGGTTAATAAAGGATTGGCTATTAGCAGCTCAGTTTAGAGAAGTTTCTATAGAGGGTATCTATTCACCTGTCGTCCTTTTGGTTGGGTAGTTGATGGCAAGTCCTGTAGAATAAAGCCAACCCAGGAGAAAAATTTTCATTTACTTTTCAAAGAGTACAAGGTAATTTGTGTGTTCTGTTACAATATGGTTAAAAAATGAGCTAGATTTAAGTTGTAAAGAGATAATATACATTATTCCATTTCTCAGAAATGTTGAGTTATCAAAAAAAAAAAAAAAATCAAACCCAGGCCATTTAGCAGCAAGCTGAAGAAAGCAGGTAAGTTTAAGCAGAGAGAAAATGTGTTCTTAAGAAACAACTCAGCATCTTCAACACAAAAGCCACTGCAAGTGAAATAGCCTATTTAAAAAACCCCCCAAAACTCAAAAGAGCTGTGCCCTTTTCAACTGAGTCACTGCAACCATTTAGATTTCGAAAACTTCAATGGTTGTACGGATTTTCACCATCTTAAAGTTATTAAATGTTATAAATGAATTCCTTTGGTAGCCTGTTTTGAAGCTGCAAATAAAAGTCTTAGGAAATTTTCTTCCATAATTTCTCTTATATCATTCCATTTGAGGTGATCTCTAAATTATTTAAAAATTTATCTGATAAAAATGTTGATATATTTTTAAAGGGCAAGTTAATAGGAAAAAAGTGATACTGCTGTATTATTAGAACTCTCAATATTTTTAACAGCAATATCAGCAACTTAGAGATTTTGTTACCCCAAATATTGCACACCTGCACGTATTAAGTGCTCCCATTTGTTTAAATTAAAAACAATTCTTTTTACTTTCCAAAATGGATAGTTCTGAAAAAAAAAAAAGTAAAATTCCAAGTTCAAGTCAAAATATAAAGTACTTTGTGTTAAAGATGTGATAATAGCGTGGCTTAAGTGCAGTTTGAAGCCAGTTCCTTTTGCTGTTTATATCCAGGCAAGGCTTATAGTTCACAAAAGTATGTGCACGTACCACAATAACAGAGGGCACACCAATTCGTAAACTTAGATAGCGGAAACTAAAACATGTTGCTGATATCACTCAGAATAGACAACTACAAAGCCCGAGAATACCCAAATGCCTACTCTGCAAAATCCTTACATTTCTTTATCTTTCTCAAATTAAAAAAAAATGTTGAGAAATTTCAAGAAACTTCCATTTACATCCTTTGCATAACTTTGAGCAAAGTCATAAATAGTAGGTGGGTGACAGAGAAATATTTTGAGAATGACCAAAGCAGTCTTGAACTACATTTCTTCAAATTTAACTAATGAAAGGCATTTTTAATGAGAAGAAAATGTTGAAAAAGATTTTCCAGGAGTAAACTGCATTGTAGCTGTAGTAGCCTTGTATATCGGCAGAAGACAATATTTCCACTGAACACATGTAACTAGAACACTCATGGCAGGTGGCACCAACAAAATTGTCACACTTTGCTGTGTGGAGCTAGAGTTCTTACCGAAACAGAATTGTTAGTGCTGCTATGACCATTAGCTGGGGACTGTCTGGAAGTGGAGGGGGAATCTCTCTGAAATAAGACACAAGGTTCATTAACACAGAACACCAGCACAGAAACAGAGATATTCACATCAACAGTTACAACCACAGTCTGACAACCATTTCCTTTGAGGTTTTAGCTATAAAGGTGCCATACTGACTTACTTGCATGATTTCACAGAAGTATGGAAAAAAATTTTACAGTTTGAAGATTCACATATTGTAAGTGATGACCATGTCATTCATTAACCATTTCTTTCCTGTCTCTAACATTCTATAACCTTTGCTTTCTTTAAATAAGACCCTGAAGGGTGACTTGATATTAAAATCCTATCAAGTACTGTAAAATGACAAATATTACTATAAAATTATTGTGCTGAAGATCCCAACTGCCTAATTTTTATTGAAAATTAGGTTTGAAAAGTATTTAGTAATCCTTAGGTACCCTGGTATCAAAAATTACTGAATGATGCAATTTGAAGTGAAGTGAATCTCAAAGACTTCTCATGTTGTAATCACCTTAGAATCTTTCTAGGATAGATATTACTAATAAGGGTAAAAGATATACACCAGAGAAGAAACCTTTATTCTTTTAGATTATTTTAGCGGATTAATTAAAACAATAATCTTGAGCCTCTAACGATTCTGGCAAAGATCCCAGCAGCCACAACCACTATACTATGTGACATGCTCAAAATCCTTTCCAGGCTCCACTCCCTTATTGTCCAAATAAACTTTAATGTTAGAAAAAGGAGGGGATGAAAATAAGTATTTAAAAATTTTTGGTTTAGTAGAGTTCTTTGAAACCTTTGAAATGTGCATGTCTGCTCAAAAGACATTTGCTTTTTCTAGAAGACTTAAAGAAAACCTCCGGAACCTGTTAGCCTTTAAATAATGGGATCCCTTAGATGAGTATTGTCAGATGTTAGTGAGCAGAATGATGTCTAGGCGCCACCCCCAGAGACTCATGTGAGTAGGGCCAGGGTGTGGGGCAGGGGTCCCCTCTTTTACCAACGGCCAGGGGGATGCTGATGAAGGTGGCCAGAGAGCTTTTCTTTGGGAAGTACTGCTGTAACTGGGAAGAGTCCAACCACAGGCTTGAATTCTGCCAGAGCACAGGAGAGTCAGACAGACTGGGGGTAGGGCTAGGAGGGGAGTACATTTTTTCCTATTCTTCAGAGGTAAAGAAGGTAAGAGAAGGCTCTTCTTACTCGAGAGCATAGCATTTATATGTGTAATTCTGGTCCCACCCCAAAACTAGTTCAACCACTCTAAAACACAAGAGAAAATTTTTAATAACTAACACTATTTTCTGGTTAGTGAGCCAAAAAGACAAAAGTCAATCGTATTTACTAAATTTCTTCCAAGATGAGAAATGGTATGAGGACCACCTGTGATTTTTAGACTATCAAAATGCTTTACATAAAAATGCATGTGGGGCTTCCCTGGTGGCGCAGTGGTTGGGAGTCCGCCTGCCGATGCAGGGGACACGGGTTCGTGCCCCGAGCCGGGAGGATCCCACATGCCGCCGAGCGGCTGGGCCCGTGAGCCATGGCCACTGAGCCTGCGCATCTGGAGCCTGTGCTCCGCAACGGGAGAGGCCACAACAGGGAGAGGCCCGCGTACCGCAAAAAAAAAAAATTAAAAAATGCATGTGACAGTCTCCCTTTTCCAGTAAGGTTTGTGTACTAGGTAACAAATTTCAAAACTATAAATCCTGGGGCAGAAGTAGTTCTATATTTTGTCTTGAAATATAGTACTAATTGAAGTTCCACAAAAAGCCACCGAGAGGAGCTCAAGACCTGATATAACAGAAACCCCAACTGTCATGGCTCACTAAAAATATACTTGACAGAACTACAAATTGTTATACATATCTTCAATAGGTTTACAAAAAAACATGAAGCCTCTGATTTTTCTTGTGAAATTTACATCACTACTAGAGACTGGAAGAAACATTATAATTTCTCCATCTATTTCTCCTAAGTACAAATTCAATCTTCTAGATGAAATAAGTTGTCTGCCAGTCTTAAATATTAACTGGAGGAAATGTGTACTTCATATTGATGTACACATACTTGGAAGATGCACAAGAAAGAACAAGCTTCAGAAAAAAATATTCAAACTGAATGCGCAATGACCGAAGGATGACACCATTTAGGCCGGCTCATATTTCCAAATATAAAAAGAATAGATTTTTGAATCTCATTTACTAACCAATAGCAAACTGAATAATATAGGTTGGGAAAGCTACAATTTCTAAAGGATAAGCCTATTGTAAGAAAGGAACTTTGGGTTTGTATTACTCTAGAAAACTTGTTTACGAATCAGATAACATTCCAATTTCAACAATTTCACAGAAGGTTGCAAAAGCCTATATTCCTCTGATAACATCAGTTATCAATTTCTCATAGACTTAACATCCATCTAGAGACCTGTCACCATTATCTGAACTACTCTATCTTAACAGAAATAGACCACTTCTCAGATCCTTGGAAAGAAGAAGTATCTATGTGATTTCTTAACAAGGGAAGTGAATGTACTTCCTGGAAATATTATTGCAGTTATGATCTTTTTTTCCCCCAGAGACTCTATTTGTTCTTTATTAAGTCTTTGTCATTATTTGGAGCTTCTCTATATGTATTTTGTTTTGATTCCAGCCTGCAGAAAGTTAAAGTGCTGAGGACATCTCCATGGAAGCAGGGCTGAGTAGGTGGATGGGACCTACTCTGTTCCGTTATCTTTGTTGTAAAATTGGTGTGCAGTGATCAACAGCACAGGCAGAAACAATTTCCCAGAAAGCCAAAACATTCAGCCATCAGCAGACAGTTAGTTAAGAACCCAGAGGAGACGGGGTGTTTCGTTAGAGCTATTACCTCACAGGACGACGACTGAGTGCGGTAACTTGGCACGATCTTGAAGGTGATACTCCCCCGCATTTCCCGCTGGAGGAAAAAAAAAGGAGAGCTCTTTTAACAAACAAATGTTGCACACAAAAACGCGCAAGAAACCACTGAAAATGTGGGGGCGTATTTAATGCAAGTCAGCTGAGAGTGCATGGGCCTACAATGAAACCTAGTTATAAAAGCAGGAACTGCTCACACTAACAGTGGAGGTTATTCCTGGGAAAAGCCCTGCAAAGTCAAGGCTGACTGTCCTGGTCATACAGCAAAGGTATAACCTCTGATGGTTACCTTTTCATAGACACGAATACAACTCTAAGTGACATGCCTTTCAAGAGTGAATGTAAGTTGAACTGTACAAGAGAACAAGTAATTACATAAGAATTATATTTGGTAGGCTACATTATGATGGTGTACTCCATAAAAATCTGCTCTTTAGGGCTTCCCTGGTGGCGCAGTGGTTGAGAGTCCGCCTGCTGATGCAGGGGACACGGGTTCGTGCCCCGGTCCGGGGGGATCCCACATGCTGCGGAGCAGCTGGGCCCGTGAGCCATGGCAGCTGGGCCTGCGTGTCTGGAGCCTGTGCTCCTCAACGGGAGAGGCCACAACAGTGAGAGGCCCACGTACAGCAAAAAAAAAAAAAAAAAAAAATCTGCTCTTTATTTCATAATGTTGGCATTAGTTTTGACTGTAGTGAGTCTGTGGTGCTTATTTCACCTTTAATAGATATAAGTAACATGGCAGGCTGCTACATTGTGGTGGGAAGAAGGTCCAGGACAAGAGGTCCAAAACATCTCCCTCTGCTCGCCAGGGCCTGTCACTCTGCACTCCCTACCCCGCCCCAATCCAAAGCCTAATTTGAACACAGATTTTGAATATGCATGGTAAAAAATGGCCTGGTCTACTATGACTTTCCTTTCCCCTGTGCTGTAGAGAAATCCAATACAGCTGGCTATGACTCAGCTACACAGGAAAGAGGCTTCTGACACTGCTGATGTCAGCAGAGTTGAGGTCAGTGAGAAACTAGTTCACAAGCATGCACAGCTGCAAAGGTTTTCTTTAAACATCTGTTCAATAAGAAATAGGAGACAAAGGATTGAAAGGAGAATGTTCAAGCCCACACTGCTAAAGATGGGCAAAATGTTTCTAAGCTCTGCTGCATGTGAACATTTTCCTAGCTCTCAGTTTTTATGAATGTTGTATAAGTTCAAGTCCACACAAATGATGGTACCAGAGATACTCTGATTATAAAAGAATATCCTTTATTTGTGCATTAATAAATAAGTTAATGAACTGAAAGTCAATCTTAGAAAAAGAGACTTTCATTTACTCACAAGCATTTTTTGCAGCTGTTCCACTGTTTGGTTAGCCACACTGATGCCATTGATCTCTCGAATTTCATCTCCGACATGAAGTGTACCTAAGAAATTACACAAAATTATAAACATGAAATGATATGTACTTTTATAATAATAAAATCCAAAGGCAGCAACGTAAGTAATTTTAAAAAATTAAGCTAAATACTGAAGGCCAGCATTTCAGAACCAGGTACAAGTTAGGCTCACGTGGTAAACTCACCAAAACAGATACACATAACTTATGGAAGACACAGTTTTGAAAGATGGCTGTAGAAATCTGCTTATTCTTCTGAGAGAGGCAGTGTGTATATAGTGGTTTAAAACTACAACTTCTAGATGCAGCCTGTCTGGGTTCATACCTCTGCTTCATCACTTATACTAGCTTTAAGATCTTGGGTAACTTACTGAAACTTTCCATGTCTTGGTTTTCACATTTGTAAAATGGAGATGAAAACAGTATCTATCTCATAGGATTGTTATGAGGATTAAAAGAGTTTAATACATGTAGAGGGCTTAGAACTGTTCTTGGCACATAGTCAGTACCATTTAAGTATTTGCTGTTATTATCATTATTATCTACCAAATATGATACAAAGGCTGTTGATTTTCAGAGAATTGTGATATAATATCTGTGTAACAACAAGTTTATATTAGACATACTGCAAACTTTTAATAATAACGTGGTAGGCATTTCAGGGTCCTGTAATACTTCAACTAGAAAAAGTGACCGAGAACCAATGCTTAAATAGTGTTATGTAAAATTTTGCTTTCTTATTTATGAATTGTGCACGTTTACTTATTGACCTGACTCCATCATGAAAAGCTCATTGTATCTTTAAGAGGTACGCACTAAAATGCATATAAAGAAAATAAGGCACCTGGTATTTGCTTCAAAGTAATCCAGGGGGGTGGGCAGTAGGGCAAATACAGATGGAACCGGTGTGGCCATGAATTAACAATAATTCTACCTGGCTTATGGGTATGTGGGCGATCACTTCACTATTCTTTCCACTTTTCTCTACTTCAACTGACTGCACTGTTTTCTCTACTCATGTTTGAAAGTTAACATAATAAAACATAAAAATTTGGGGACTTTTGTTTCAAATATGGTTGATTAGGCACTCACAGACTTTCTTACAACTACATATCCCGTCTAGGGCACACCTCTTGAAGTGTTACTGGTCTCACAAAAGGAATGCAAATTCCCAAGAACACTTCCCACTTCCATCCACACAAAAGGACCCTGTGAGCTGCATCCAGAGTGGTGGCAAAGTAAGGACGGAATGAAATAGTGGGAGGGGTAAATGCCATTGCTGCAATGCCTGACGGCCGGATTCTGAGCCTTGGGCCAATAGCAAGTTAGAGAAGCTGAGCCTAGGATTCTGTAGGGAGCCAAGACCCAGATCAGTGGTACTCCATGGCAGCTGGTAGAACAAGGAACAAACCCTTCCTGGAGGAAAGCGTTTCCAGTTTAGGCCCCCAAGACTTCCATTGATTTGAACAAGCAATAGGCTTACAATCAAAGATCACCAAACATACATACAATAAGGCAAACTACTATGCGAGTCATCAGAAAGAGAAAAAACAGATTTAGATCCTCGAGGAGGATAGATATTGGAATGGTCAGATATAGAATACAAGAATACCTTGTTTTCTTGTGCCCTGCTTTACTGTGCCTCAAAGATTCTGCATTTTTTATAAATTGAAGGTTTGTGGCAACCCTGTGTTGAGCAAGTCTATCTGCGCCATTTTTCCAACAGCGTTTGCTCACTTCATGTCTCTGCATCATGTTTTGGTAATTCTCGCAATACTTCAAACTTTTCCATCATTATTATATTTGTTATGGTGATCTGTGATGAGTGATCTTTGCTGTTACTATTGTAATTGTTTTGGGGGTGTCATGAACTGTGCTCATATAAGATGGCAAACTTACCTGATTGTTGAAATGACAACAAAGGATTTAGAATATTACATAAACTTAGTTGATAAAGCAGTGGCAGGGTTTGAGAGAACTGACTACAATTTTGAAACAAGTTTTACCATGGGTAAAATGCTATCAAACAGCACTGCATGCTACAGAGAAATCATTTGTGAAAGGAAGAGTCAATCAATGAGGCAAACTTCATTGTTGTCTTCTTTTAAGAAATTGCCAGAGCCACCTCAAGCTTCAGCAACCACCACCCTGATCGGTCAGCAGCCATCAACATCTAGACAGTACCCTCCACCAGGAGCAAAGATTACGTTTTGCTGAAGGCTTAGATGATGGTTAGCACTTTTTAGCAATAAAGTAATTTTTAATTAAAGTATGTATATTTTTTAGACATAATGCTATTGCACGCTTAACAGATGAAAGCATAGTGCAAACATAACTTTTATATGCACTGGGAAACAAAAAAATTCAGGTGACTCACTTTATTGTGGTGGTCTGAAACCAAACCTGTAATATCTCCAAGGTATGCCTGTGTAAAATAGCTATATGTTAAATATTAGGGGAAAGAAAGGGACCTATTTACAAGGATGAACATGCAACAAGAGATTATCAGGTGTGAACAGACAGATCTGAAAATAAAAAGAAGAACAAGTAACTAGTACCTCTAGAAAGGAAAAATATAATTGGTAGCATAAACCAATGAACGGATGAGCTGAACAGGAGTTCAGATATGGCTTAAGAGAGTTTCAGTGAACTGGAAGACATAACCAAATAAATTGTCTAGAATGCAGTTCAGAGAAGTAAGGAGATAAGGAAAATAGGAAACAAGAAATAAAGAAAATATGAAAAAGATATTAAGAGATATGGAGGGAATGTCTAACATACATCTACCTAGAGTTCAGAAGGAGAGAATAGAGAGAATGGAGAAGAGGCAACATTTGAAGAAACATGGTTGCAAATTTTCTTGAACTGATGAAAACATGATTACACAGCTCCAGAAAGAATAATGTATCCCAAGTAGGATAAATAAAAAGAAATCCATGCTGGGAGGTAGTAAAACTACAGAACATCAAAGACAAAGACCTTAAAAAGTCCAGGGAGGAAGCAGAGATCACCTACAAAGCAAGGGCAATTATAGTGACACCAGACTTCTCAATATCAAACAACAGATGCCAAAAGAAAAGAGAATGGTAACCATTAATTTAAAACTGTGCTCTCAGCAAAAGTAATCAAGATTGAAGCTGACATAAAAGGGGAAATTGACAGTAACACAATAATAGTAGGGGACTTTAACACCCCACTTTCACCAGTGGACAGATCATCCAAAATGAAAATAAATAAGGAAACACAAGCTTTAAATGCAACATTAAACAAGATGGGCTTAATTGATATTTATAGGACATTCCATCCAAAAACAAAAGAATACACTTTCTTCTCAAGTGCTCATGGAACATTCTCCAGTATAGATCATATCTTGGGTCACAAATCAAGCCTTGGTAAATTTAAGAAAACTGAAATGGTATCAAGTATCTTTTCCGACCGCAACGCTATGAGACTAGATATCAATTACAGGAAAAAAACTGTAAAAAATACAAACACATGGAGGCTAAACAATATGCTACTAAATAACCAAGAGATCACTGAAGAAATCAAAGAGGAAGTCAAAAAATACCTAGAAACAAATGACAATGAAAACATGACGACCCAAAACCTACAGGATACAGCAAAAGCAGTTCTACGAGGGAAGTTTATAGCAATACAATCCTACCTCAAGAAACAAGAAACATCTGAAATAAACAACCTAACTTTACACCTAAAGCAATTAGAAAAAGAAGAACCAAAACCCCCCCCAAAGATAGAAGAAGGAAAGAAATCATAAAGATCAGATCAGAAACAAAAGAAAAAGAAATGAAGGAAACAACAGCAAAGATCAATAAAACTAAAAGCTGGTTCTTTGAGAGGATAAACAAGATTGATAAACCACTAGACAGACTCATCAAGAAAAAAAGGGAGAAGACTCAAATCAACAGTATTAGAAATTAAAAAAGGAGAAGTAACAACTGACACTCCAAAAATACAAAGAATCATGAGGGATTACTACAAGGAACTATATGCCAATAAAACGGACAACCTGGAAGAAATGGACAAATTCTTAGAAAAGCACAACTTTCCGAGACTGAACCAGGAAGAAATAGAACATATAAACAGACGAATCACAAGCAGTGAAATTGAGACTGTGATTAAAAATCTTCCAACAAACAAAAGCCCAGGACCAGATGGCTTCACGGGTGAATTCTATCAAACATTCGGAGAAGAGCTAACATCTATCCTTCTCAAACTCTTCCAAAATATAGCAGAGGGAGGAACACTCCCAAACTCATTCTACGAGGCCACCATCACCCTGATATCAAAACCAGACAAAGATGTCACAAAAAAAGAAAACTACAGACCAATATCACTGATGAACAGAGATGCAAAAATCCTCAACAAAATCCTAGCAAACAGAATCCAACAGCACATTAAAAGGATCACACACCATGATCAAGTGGGGTTTATCCCAGGAATGCAGGGATTCTTCAATATATGCAAATCAATCAATGTGATACACCATATTAACAAATTGAAGGAGAAAAACCATATGATAAGCTCAATAGATTCAGAAAAAGCTTCTGACAAAATTCAACACCCATTTATGATAAAAACTCTCCAAAAAGTAGGCATAGAGGGAACTTACTTCAACATAATAAAGGTCATATATGACAAATCCACAGTCAACATCATTCTCAATGGTGAAAAACTGAAACCATTTCCTCTAAAATTAGGAACAAGATAAGGATGCCCACTCTCTCCACTATTATTCAACATAGTTTCGGAAGTTTTAGCCACAGCAATCAGAGAAGAAAAAGAAATAAAAGGAATCCAAATAGGAAAAGAAGTAAAGCTGTCACTGTTTGCAGATGACGTGATACTATACATAGAGAATCCTAAAGATGCTACCACAAAACTACTAGAACTAATCAATGAATTTGGTAAAGTTGCAGGATACAAAATTGATGCACAGAAATCTCTTGCATTCCTATACACTAATGATGAAAAATCTGAAAGAGAAATTAAGGAAACACTCCCATTAAC